TCAATTCGGTCTGCGCTATTAGAAAATTGCTGTAAAAGATCAATAGATTTAGTGGAGTTAAACATATAATATGTAACATTTCTGCAAGAAAACAACTAGACCAATGTTACAGGGATAGGAAGATATACAATATTATCACATGTCGCGATAAAAACACTCCTGCCTTGATGAATTTATCATGGTGAATTTCCATTATTGTGAATATCCTCACATGGCTTGACTTGAAAAAGCTGTCTAGCTCGCCAGCATATATTTATTTTGACGAAGGGACAAGGGGGAGCCTGCATCCTTCCAGTCATTCCAGAATCCTAATCCTGTCACCATGGCTAAAGGCTTGGCTTTCCTGTTGTATCCCCAACGAAATAATTTAATCAGGATGTGTGGAAATAGTATAGATTCCTAAATAAAGAGCAGGGAGATGAGGTGCCTATCTGTGATGCAATAAAATAATGTGAGGTAATGTGATTTCAGTATGTTTTAGTGGCATTTTAAAGGTATATTTTCATGGTAATGGCAATAATATCATGTATTGCAAATATTTATTATATTATTATTATAATCGTGACATGAAATTTTCATATTATCCCATGCCTACCATGTTATATGTTTCGTTGAATCGTGTACTTACATTATCCCAACTGTTTCCAAGAATGGTCAAACCCAGAGAAATTGAATTTCGGTAAATTCCTTTCTTACTTCTGGGTAGGGATTTCTGCCTGTTTCATGTCAAATAGATTTTCATCAATAATGTTTTTTTAACAAAGAAGACAACAACTCCCATGATCCACGTACATGGGCCTAAAGTGAAACCCACATGAAAGGAAGTGAAATTGTTAATAATGGAAACAATATGAGCTCTAAGGCTACGTCCACACTGCAGGCTCAAGTGACCCGATTCAGATTTTTGTGCCTGTGTGTGACACAGATCTGTTTTTGTTTTTTTGACATTGACAGACACAGCTCTGACTTTTTGCAATATAACCTAAGTCGTATCAGAATTCATGTGACTTTTATGTCACTCTAGATCTATGTTCGTCATGCGGGTCACTTCAGGACTGTGACCTGCTCACACTGGAATCTGATATGGGCCCAATTTAACAAATAATGTAAACAGCCAAACAAAAAAAATCTGATCTGAGCGATACATCAGAATTGAGCACTACTGCTTTGAGTGTGAACGTAGCCTAAAGTAATGTAACATTTCAGAAATCAGCAGGGGGAAATGTCGAAAGAGCAGGAAGAGAGTTTCATAATGTTTTTCTTTTCAGAAGTTGACAGAGATTTGCTCACAATAGGTAAGCACGGAAAGCGGCTCAGCAGAGCTATAAAGTATAGCTCTGTGAAGATGGAGAGATTTGAAGCTTGATCCCCTCAGGTTTGATAGCAAAATGATTAAAGAAACCCTTCAGATTTTTTGTGAGGGAGGATTCAGAGATCCAAGTGTAACAGCTAGTCACACACTTAGGCTTTGGAAAATTCCTGGAAGTATAAAGACACACATTTTGCTTACACACCCAACACTTCCCCTCAACTGTTGTCTTTCAAAGTGATTTGATAGAACCTCTGTGTTTCTGTGTGTATGTGTGTGTGTGTGTGTGTGTGTGTGTGTGTGTGTGTGTGTGTGTGTGTGTGTGTGTGTGTGTGTGTGTGTGTGTTTGTTTTAGGGATGTGTATTTTTTATGATTTCATTAATGGAGTGACCCCCTTATATGAGGGTGTTTTAATGTGCCGGGAGGAAGGGATTCTGCTTTATTATTATTATTATTTGGTTTTTTTTACAGTGGGTTTTTTGTTTAGTTTTGTTTTTTTTTCCTCAGTGTACACTTTTTGTTGTTGTCAATTTCAAAACGATCTGTTTTTGGCTTTCAGCTCTGTATTCATGGCATCAAACATCTATGTGATATCACAAATAATGCTCATTAACACTCTTCTGATGTATGTAATGTCTGTAATCTGTAAAACAGCAAGATCAATTCCTGAACATAAGGCCAAAATGAGAGTAATGACAGCATCCACATTATTTCATGACTGCTACCTGCATCAGTCAGTGAAATCAGGGATTTTAGTTTTAAGAGCCCATATTTATGCACTCTTGTGGAGCAGTTCATACTCCAGCAGAGGATGGCTAGAGAAAAGTGGATATTGCAACTCAGCCAATAACCTATAATGGCTTCTTCCATTTTGGATTTTCTGGCTCTCTATTCCATCAAAGGTCAGCAGCATTACAGCAATACAAATTAGTGTGTTAAAGTCCACTGATGGCAGCCATTCCTTTGGAAAGAATTCATTTCACTGTGATTTTCCACCATTTGCTGCTGATGCAACCAGGCTGTCAGAGGAACCTTTAAAATCATGATTAATCATATACATTTCTGCATCTCTCCCGGTATCAAAGTAGTTCCACTTGCCTGATTTGGTTAAATCATCTGTGATAAAAACCTTTCTATCTGGTTGCCATCAACATTACCAACCCAGTTCTACTCACTGGTGTTTGGATAGAATTTACCAGCCTTAATGATCTGATATAACTCCTCATATAAAGCAATAAATTCATGGCATGAATGGTATAAAACTGAATTTCACATTCCCCTGTGAAAACCCAAGTGTCTAAACAGCCAATGAATGGAATGTGAAGTGTGACTTTATTGCAAAGGTTATGTGAAAACCGCATGATGTAATTCTTTTCTGAAAATAAAATATTAGTATTATTTGTTACGAAGGACATCTTCTTTTCCAGTCATACAAATGAAATATCCTTTCTCCTCTTAAGTCACAACCGCATAACCTTCCTGCCTCCCCTCTCTGCCTGTAGAGGTGTTTTGACGCAACCTTGAACCGCTCTTATACGCTGACTTCACTGTTGCATAAGCTCTCCATTTCATTACACCTTTCCCCATCTTCCACTCACTCTTATCCAGGCTTAATAGCAGAATCTCAGAGTAGTTAACTGTCCTTCACCATATCCTGTGAACAAAAAATTTGACCGGCTGGAAAGTTAGTGCAAATCCTGTGGATCTTTTGTGGCTCGTTATTGAGTATCTTCACTCTTCTAATTAATTTTACTGCCAAAAGATTACAACTTTTTAGGATTCTTAATGTATAATGGTTGAAGGTAAGATTGGATTTAGATTTAATCACATACATTTACGCAGTATTTGCTCAGAGAATCTTAACGAACAGTAATTACCATAACTGAAATTATTTCCATAATCATCTGGGCTAATTAGAAACATGAAAGTACTGTAGGGCAGCTACTCGGCTGTAATACCAAATAAATGTAGCCTGAATTAATAATCCTGTTTTACCATTAACTCAGTGTCATCATCACAAGACACAGGCACACTGTTAGGCTACATGTACATATCTTGTGGGGGATTGGAGCTAAATAAAATAATTTTAAAAAAGGAGTAAATCCTCTTTATGGTTAAAACCAGAATGGTTTTTTTCACAGAGCTTTTACACTTAAAGTTGTAGGCTGGAAGAATTAATTTTGTAGTTTGCCAGGATAAGGGTCAAATGTAAATACATCAGCCACAAATGTCCACACATTAGCTGCTTCAGTGCAGCGTTGGATTATTTTCACAATAAACAATTCTGCAGGTTTATTGCAGAGTTCCAATAAAGCACAAGTTGATTAATGAATATAGAGCCTGTTAGTGGGGGTGTGTTGTTAGTGGGACAATTAAATAAATCCAGAAAATCCAGTTGCAATAACAGATTCATGAATTTAAAGGCCTATCAGATGCCAAAACCCTGCCCTACTTTAACTCTATTTTATCTTTTGCCACAATAACTGCAAGGTAACCAGTAGAAATGCTTTGTAGCAAAAAGCTAGGTCAGGTTCAACTGTTTTGCTGGGTGACCCTGCAGCCTTGTGCTGGCACCACAGCGTCGACTGACTCCATTCAAATAAATTTGACGTTTTTTTTCACGCGGGGCTGAAATCTGTCTGAATGCAGCCCAAATATGCAGTCGGCCGAGAATTACTTGTGTGCCTCTGTGGCAAAAAGCAGGCAGGGAAGTGTGGGATTAGTGTGGGCATAAGCATAAACCGAGAGTTCAATCCAACCCCCTCTCTCAAACTGGCTGGACATTGGAGAGCTGCACAGTGCATGTCAAAAAATTGACTGATTTTTTAATGTTGTAATGAGATAAGTACAGGGAAAAAAAGTACAGTTAAAAAGTAAACCTGTCATTGCTCCCTGCTGGACAAACAATGTTACGGCGACAGACATAGATCTTTTGCATTGATCAGGCTCTAAATACATAATGTTACTAATGATTGCTTTGATAAGCAGGTCAGTCAAATTGTTCAACAAGTGTTGTTTATGTATAGTATCTGTCCATCAAAACCGCCCATAAACGTCACATCTACTGTTCCCAGAATCCATCATGACTGTATTAAATGTAATCAGTGTACTGGATTATAGCCAAGTACATTTGTTTTGTCGATCAAACTATGAAGTGAGTGAAATAAAGAATGACATGTCAAATACTAATCACATCTGGAAGCACTGCAACCATTTCTCTCTGTTTTTGCCTGAAAGTGGGATGAAAACACTTTGTTTCACCTTCTGTTTTCATGTGCTGCTCATATGCTATAGTGAACTGATCTCAGAGGAAAGTGTATGTGAGTATCAGAGTATCAGAGACCCCCAGCTATTAAGTGCTTTTTAACCATGCCAGGTAACAGAGATTCAAGAGACTACTGACCTGTAATTGGAAGAAGATAGATGGATAAAGATGCAGCGGGAAATAAGAAGGGTGAAGAAGGGATCTGGAGGGAGGAAGGGAAAACAAGATGAACTGCAGCCAGTGAACAATAAATGAATCTTTTCTTTCTCCCTCTCTCCTCCTCTGTGGATCCATCCATCTCCTCTGTCACCACTATCTACCGCCAATCCCTCCCCTCCATATCTTCCTCTGTACTCTTAGTTTTCCCTTTTTTTCTTTACCGTTTTGGATTTCTTCACCACTCTGTGCTTTCTTTCCGTCTCCAGGCATGGTTGACAGAGATCCATGAGTACGCCCAGCAAGACGTGGTCGTCATGCTGCTGGGCAACAAGGTGAGACCTTGTTGCCAATGCTGGGAGATGGATGGACAGATGGACTCATAGAGGGAGGGAAGGAGGGATCATGGTGGGAGGTATGGTGGGAGCCGGAAAGGAAGGACGGATTTATGGATGTGTCTAGGAGCTGGGAAAGACTTCTTATTTGTTATTGCACACTGGATTTTCAAATGTCACAAAATGTCTTGGGAGTGGTGTTCAAAATATTAAAGCCTTACTAATCAATATTTGATATTTTATGTTAACAGTGTATCAAATGGCAATGTTGTAATGTGAACAGTTACTTGTAGTGTAAAGCTGCAGAGAATTATCACCCGACTCTCCGTTCAGCTTTATGGAGGTTATCACTGTTTTAGCTTTTAGCTTTCAACTTTACCGCTTTGGTACACTCTCACCGCTCCTGTCAACCTCGGTTCCAGCCTCAGTAGGACTCTGTTGCCAGTGAATAAGCTCTGATTAATTCAGTATACGAAAAGTTTTACAACACCAAAGGGCAGAAAGTCGTAGCAACTAGCTGGTGAACACAGCGGACTGTTTGGCTAAAAAGCTATCTGAAGTTAAAGGGCCAGTTATTTATCTATCTAAAATTAGAGCTATTAGGTGATTTTCTTACAGTAGGTTTGTGGAACATGACTAAAAAAGACTGCTGTTGATGCTCTGTAGCTGCTGGGTGTGCTAATACGTTAGCAATATCAACTTTTCTTCTGCAAAAATCAATTAAACGCCACCCGCCCGGTACCAAACGGCACGCAGACAATGTTAGCGTCTAGCAGGTGAAGGAAGACATTTTGATTTAGCATCTCAGGAGTTGGGACACCAAAACATGGCTAAAAAAAGAGGGAATAATGCTTTTACATTCATAAGGTAGTCAGAAACAAGGCTAGTCAGAACAAAAACGCAAATGGATCTTTATTTTTATGTTACATGTGGAAAATATATTATGTCCAAATACTGCGCTTGTAGTTTTTTTCTTCAGTAAAGTTGGTCAAATAGAAGCCATAAACAGCTGGTAAAAACACAAAAAAGTAATTGGCAGGTATTCAATGTACACCACGAGGGAGGGAAATTTGATTGTACATGTATATGTCAAACGTGGACAACCGACTGCTGTGAATTCCCTCATTAGCATTATCCACTAACCACACTGACAGAAATTGGGACATGAGCCACAGTTTCTAACTGAATATTGTCCGTACAATGTGCTTCAGGCTGACTCCACACATGACAGGGTGGTGAAGCGAGAGGAGGGAGAGAAACTGGCGAAGGTGAGATTCATAAAACACACACACACACACACACACACACATGCAATTTGACACATGTAACAAGGATAAAAGACGCTGTACTTATTCTGCCCACGCAGCCTCATGGACCCTAAACCCCCCCCCATGTAGCTGCCGTGTCTTGATTAGTGTGTGTAATTAGGTATTCATGGAGGCACATAATGTTGTTATTGTTTGGAATAAATGATGGGGGCTTGCTAACTTAATTTTCCAGGCCGTTTCACTCAGATAAGCTCTGAGATGCATGTTAGAGTAAATATGAACACAAGAGGTAAGGAGGAGCATGGTAGAAGCACTGCAGCTGTCAAGGTAGATACACACACACACACACACACACACACACACACACACACACACACAGCAGGAATATTGACATGTACACACAGACACACAGAGAATGAGATTATGATACCTGGGAGCATTTCTCATAGACTACAAACTGTGTGATTTTTCTTCCTTATAAATTACAAAGTATAAACAGTTTTTGAAATCCAGAAATCTCAGCACCCGTCAACATTGAATTATTGGTATTGATCAGCAACCCTCTCATTCCTCTCCAGGTACTTTAAATTCCAGCTTTAAACTCTCAAAATGAAATGAATTATAAACCTCATCTTCGTGTCAGCATGAGAACATTTTGTCCTAATGATGAAAAGACTTACAAGAGCGTCACACATTCACGACAAACACGCATACACCTAGTAACAGATGTTTCTCTGTGCAGGAGTTTGGAGTGCCCTTCATGGAGACGAGTGCTAAATCTGGACTGAATGTGGAGCTGGCCTTCACTGCAGTGGCCAAGTGAGTCACACACGCTCAACGCGACAGTATGAAGAGCACAGGAAGGATCCCTGCGTTCTCTGACTGAAATGTAACTTTATCTTAAAAGGAACACGCGGAAGGTTTTGAGAGTTTATGGTCTCTGCCATTAAAGTGATGAGAACTGGAACATAAAGCAGTGTTAGGGCAATAGCTCTGGTGTTCCATGAACTTAGGCATTAAGTGAAAAACGTTTGTGAAAGCAGGAGTATGTAACTTTTGAGAGAAGCAGTTACACAATCTTCCTCTTACACATTTTTAAGCATTAAAACACACCCCTCCTCAGTTGTTATGCCACTACAGTCTTACTTGATCTGGCATTACCATATGTAAGCCAGTGTGAGCAAACTTTAGACAGATACAGCTGTACATTCCTGAGTCTGACAATTCACTATTTCTGCTACTGTTGCACTTTTAGCATGCCTCAGATAAACATTTCAATGGCTTTATCACAAAAGTAAAACATGAAGTAATCACACCATACCTTTAACGTTATCATTATCTCATGTTAGTTATCTACAGCTGATAAAGTCTGATGGCGACAGTCGTCGTTTCAGCAGCCAAAAATCATTCCGTGAGTGAAATGATAATCCTGCTTTTGTTTCCTTTGAAATCAAAGACTCTTTAGGTTATTTGGAGTGGAAAATCTGCCACCATTATCGCTGTAAACTGCATGCTGTATGTGCCATGCTGCCACACACAAGTTTAAAAGCTGAGAGCAATATGGCTTTAAAAAGACCAGCGTGTTAGTGACAGGGGAGACGAGGGTTATTAAGTTGTTTTTTTATCATGATGTACATTTGCATTTGTTCCCCATGGCCACGGTATGAGAATGGAAACTGCCAAACAAACGCATTCAAACACACGAGGACACAAGTTACTCAGCTGTTAAATGAGATCAGTTTGACAAAAGTTTATCTTGACAACAACACTGTGTTTGTATTATATTTTTGAATAATGAGGATACTATTTTAAGTGTGTTTCACTTAAATGTGTAGAGTCGGACAGTCTGTGTGGGAGTTGTTGAACATTTATAGCCTCGTTATGGTAACAGGCTGGCATGGTGGGATGTTGCCAAGAATAGCATGACAGTCTGGCACACAACACCCTGCAGATAGAGAATGTAAGACCAGCTCTTTTTTTGATGTTGTCCTCTAGCTCTATTTAACACCTTTTCAGTTTTTACATCTCATGCTTTCTCTTTTCTTAGTTCTCTCCAAAATCACTTCTCATCTGTCACTCTTCCACTTTTTCATCACCTCCACTCCTTTATGTTTGTCTTCATTTCGCTTTGTCTTGAGCTTTATTTGTACGAAACACACAAGGACTTTAAGTATAAGTAACAACAAACAGGCAAAGACAGGATTCACATGGAAACTGACACAACGATGCAATGACAACAACAAATGGTCCATTCTTACTACTGTGATATTGAACCACTGAAAAACTCATGACGCATCGTGCATATATTTACGTGTTTTAATTGTAATACAGTATGTTGAAAGGTTTCTCTAAAATATTCTATACAGGAGGTCAGTAAGTCACCATTCTGTCTGCTCCATGCTTCATTCACCAAATGTTTTTGGCTATCTTGCCTTTATCAGTATGTTTGGGACTGTTTTTGGTTTCGTTACATACAATGCATTGATCTGTCACTATGTGATCTCTCAGATTATAACATATAAATATGGAGCTACAGCCAGCAGCTGGTTAGCTTAGCATAATAACTGGAAAGGGGGCAAAAGGTAGTCTGGTTCTGTCTAAAGGTAACAAAATCTGCCTATACCAGCCCCTCTAGAGCTCACTAATTAACATGTTATACCATGTTTGTTTAATCCGTACAAAAACAGAAGTGTGAAAATTACAAGTTGGGGTTTTAAGGGGGCTTATCTGGGTGACTCTTCCTTGTTGACATCTTGAAGTTGACTGGAAACCAGCGAAGACTCCAGGAAGTCACTGCACCCGGCTAAGAAATCGTTTGGAACATCATTTCCCCACATGTTAATCAGGCTGGATTTTGTTACCAGGCTAGCTGTTTCCCCATCATTTCCAGTCGTTAGGCTAAGCTAACTGTCTCCTGGCTGTAGCTTCAAATTTAATACAGATATAAAAGGAGTCTTGTCCTTCTCATCTTACGTTGGATAAGAAAAACAATTAGTTTATTTCCTAAAATGTCAAACTACTACATTTAAGTGGGAAAAATCATCTAGATCTGGTTTGGTCATATATATTCTATTTGTTTTTTCGGGGTACACTCATTTAAATATTTAAGTAGAAGCCATTTTTATGGCTGCACCATGTCATTGAATAGAAATAACTAGACACAATTTTATACATTTCACCAAAATTCAGTATTTTGTACTTTCTACAACTTTGCGGCCAGTCTGTGACTATGACTTTTGGATCACACATTAAAGACAACCCCCAGGTTAGAGCAGTGTGTCTATCAGGAAACAGCAGTTCAAACGCGAGCAATTGAACCAGAAAATCAAGATGAGATGATAAAATGGATTTAAAAAACAACAGGGAAGCAATTAACAGTTACTGATTAAATTATTTGAAGCTGATCCCAAAGACCACAACACAATTTACACCTATTTGATTACAGATTCACAGTTTTGACTTTCCTCTTGATAGTTTCCAACTCTAAAATCAGACGATCATGTCAGACCATCCTGACTATTCATCAAAATCAGGCAACAACATGTTTTTTACAAAGTACATACTTGCATTACCACAACACCATCTCACAGTGGTGAAAATGTTATTGGATATTCTATAACAAAGAAAGAAAACTTGAATGCAATTTGCAATTTGAAGACTTCTCTTTCACCACCTATTGGTAGCAGAGCATAGCCTCATGTTTATACTGTCTGTCTGTCTGTCTGTCTGTCTGTCTGTCTGTCTGTCTGTCTCTCAGAGAACTGAAGCACAGGACCATGAAGGAGCCTGATGAGCCAAAGTTTCAGCTGAAGGAGTACGTCGACAAAGAAATGAGGACTGCTGGCTGCTGCCGCTCGTAGACCACATCCTATGTGTGTGTGTGCACATGAGTGTATTTGACAGACAGAGAGAGAACAGGTACATTCTATTAGAGTAGTAATAAATCTGAGTCGGTGTGTCTGGGAAATCTCATGAAATTCTCAGTGTTTGTAATACAGTGGTGATATGGCCAATATGCTCTCTCTCTTAACCCACCTTTCCTCTGCAACTGTGAATGTAATATAACTCCTATCTACATGCTTGCATATACACATGCATGTACACTCACCAATACACACACACACACACACACACACACACACACACACACACACACACACACACACACAGCTATGTTTGTAAATTTACCTCACAGCCCGTTCCATCCATTTTACCAGTGAAAAAGTGTGATGTACATATTTAAACTGTCATTTTAATTTTGTGCTCTGAAAGCTTTGTAGTTTGTAAATGCCCGTCTTGTTGAAAACAAAAGAACACAGACACAAATATGTTGAATATTAAATCAATCAATCTTGTTAAAGTAACAGAAATAAATAGTTTATGAACACATTTGTACAGATACACTACTGCACCTAATGTAAGCTGTCAAATGGCACTGTGTGCTGTTTATGTACAGGACATCATATGATAACCTTTTTTAATACTTCTACTTGTGATCATGACTATCATTATACTGATGTCTGTGAAATTTAATTTGAGCTCTTTACTTTTTCTACACAGATTGAGTTTAAAGCTCCTACATGAAGCATTTTAACTTTAAGAAATCTCCCTCAGTAATTACTAGACCATATTAAATGTAAAAAACAAGATCATCAGCAAAAAAACTGACCTCTACTCTGTGTTTTACGGGTTTGGGGATAAATCTGTATGTATGGCACAAAAAAGGAAGTGGGCACCAATCCTTCCTCACAAATCACTTGACTAGCACTCAATCCGTTTGAGAAAGGGAAAGAAATATATAAGAAACACGGACAAATAACATTATCTGTTTTGTGACACAAAGCAAGACGTTTCTTGTGAAATCTGGTCTTAACCTGGATTAAAAAAAGTTCAAGTTAAGTTAAATATTGAATGTGAAAGTTAATGCTTGACCTTGGAAACAGAGGTCAAGAGGTCGAAACTAGGGTGGAAAACCTATGGTAGTACTGGAGTTTTCCACTACATCTCACTCTCTTCATCAGCACATGGAGAAAAATGGCTCACCTTTACCAAGATTTAACAATATTTATTTATTTATTTATTTAACATTCAATAGATCTACTCCATCCTCGGATGAAGACCACAAGATATGGTAGAAAGCTCCTGATTAAGGTATTAAGTGACTTTTTATGTTATAACGTTAAGTTGAATATGGCTGGTGTGACGTGTGACGAAACTGCTACACCAAACATCTTTCATCTCCACTTTTCCAGGCTTAATTTAAATGCATAAAATATTCAAACAACATAAAACAACCTGCAACAGCTACAATAATCATGAATACAGCCGATATGCAAATAGCCAGTCTTGTACTTTTCAGTCAAGATTCTTAAATTCCGAAAACTGAAGCTCAAAGAAGTGTGGAGAAAAATTTAGAAGAAGGTTTGGCCGAACTTATATTTCACTTGTTTTTTCCTCCAGAGATTTTGTAGTTCCTGTTGTTCCATAGAGATGTAGCCATTGTTATTGGACCTTTGTTGAACCAACGCTATGGCTCCAGTCCCAAGAGAAGCTAAAGGGAATGGTAATTAGAAGTTGGTATTGGGTGAAGGGATGCTGCTATTGTGCGTTGGCTTTAAGGAGGAGCTGTCTGCAGTAGAATCGCTGGAAAAATGCATGATTCCAGTGGAAACTAGGCTTTTTTTTAAAAGTAACTTGTCACAGACATTTTTTTGTGAGATGTTTTATCAAAGAGGGTATTATACTGCTCTCTGCTTAAGTTAAATCATACTATAAATTCTACCATGAAATGCCATAAATACATGTTAGATTTGCTTTCATTAAATGATTACACTGACTCTTGATATACAGATTTTACAATAGATCACAGATTTACATCAATTTATTGTTAACCTGTAATCTGTATATTGTATCTTAACTAAAATGATTTGAATTGTATCAATCTTCAGTGTTCACAATAAAGAATCGATCAACTGAATGAGTTGTTTTTACCTGTGGATGACCAGTGATGAGGCTCACACGTGGATCTACACCACCACCATTTGGCAGAGTCTTGTCATTACAACTTTGACTATGAATGGCTGTATATGTGCAACACAAGACAATGATATTATCTTAAATAGACAGACCGCATTGACCCAGGATCAGTCGAGAATGCAAGAGATTAGCAGCTCTCTTACGGTCAGCACTGGGACATCAATCACCCTTGTGGCTTAAAGACAGGTCTAGGTGGGTTTCTTTTCTTTTATTCTTTTTCTTTAATTTTCTTTTATACAATAAAAGGATTGATGGCCTAAATCAGGCACTATTTTATGGGGGGCCATATAGGCCATAATTCATATTTGAAATCACAATGGGTTTTTAAGCAGCAGGGGAAAGAAGTTGTTTATCCTGTGTGTCGATGTCATTCTTTTCTTTTATTCTGATATTTTTATACTCCGTAACACATCACACAGGATTTGGAAGTTTGAAACATAAAAAAGTGAATACAAACAATATTATGAATTAATATTTTACGTAACATAATTCGTACACAAGTCCAGGTTTCTGTTGATCTTTTGAATCTTTTGTAGTCTTGACATGATTAATTTATCTGATTAATGATTATTAATGATTTCTCTCCGTTGGATAATACCCAGAACCTGCTGCATTTTAAACATGACATCACAGGTGCCAGTACACTGCAGCGGGTTAAGTTCAAGGCACTTGAGGAAATTCTGACACACACCTCAAGGCTGATTGAGGTAGGCTGGTGTGTGCACAGGTAAAACCTATTAAACATGACTTTTATAGAAAGCAGCTCATTTTGTTCTTATTTTTTTATTTTTTATCTCTGTGCTTCTTGATTTTGTTCCTGGGACACCTGAAGGCAACATAATGCTACACGAAAGACAATACAGCCTGACCCTCTTTGTTCTCTGTGTTTAGAGTCACATTCACTGGCATTGATCTCCCCCCCCACCAGCTCCTGTGCAAGTCTTATACTGTAGATGGTTTAACATAACTTGACATTGACAAGTAATCATTCCATATATGAGTTTATGTTGGGTTTTATTGCTGTAGTTATTCTCTGGTTGGTTAATGGCAGCTATTGCATCACCAATGAATATAATAGCACAGCTCAATGTTTCCAAACTAACAAAGTCATGTGGAGTTTTCCATTTTTTTAAGTTGTAAATCTCTTAAAATTAATTAGAGACTATGAAGTATTAAGATTGAAAACTAACCACATCTAAACAGAAATAAAAATGTGTGGATGTGTTGATGTCAGGCAGTGTGTGATGGTGTTTGGTGTTTCTTACCTGAGCCATAGTGCACTGAAGGCAGTTTGGAACATTGTGCTTATTTAGGTAATGGCACTGTTGGGTTTGCTTTGTGGATGTGATGGTTTTCACCTCTGGAACAAAACAAAGAACAGTATATATCACAAAGGCTGCTGCAAAATGTGCATTCTTTTTCTAGTTGGACATTTTGTGAAAAACATTCTTAGCAAAATGTAATCAAACACAACAAAAGGCTTGCAGTTCAAAAAAACAATAAAATAGTCAAGGAAGTTCGTCAAAGGAAATGTTGAAATTAACAAGCCCTGTGGTAACTATTCAGTTTTATCTATTGATAGAAATAGCACATACTATTTATAGGTATGTTTTCCTTAGTGTATACTCACCTCAATATGGGAACTGTTGTGTTTTCATTATCTTAGATTGAGCCATTTTTATCTACAGACGCCGAGGGTCGCCTTCCATTAAGGCCACCATGTTGATGTTTCTACAGCAGCCCAGCACAGACAGACACTGCATGCAGATAAGGCCTTTCATGTTTTTTACGGGTCTTGCAGCAACCGTGGTTCCTCGTACGCACCTCACTGCCCATTTTCATTTCCAGGTCGTCAGTGTTCAGTTAGTTGCAATCTGAAACTTTACCACTAGATGCCACTAAATCCTACACACTGGTCCTTTTAAGTGTTATTTAACCCTTGTATTATGTTAAGGGTAATTTGACCCATTTCAGTTTTGTGTTGATCAAAGTACTGGTTATCCTTTCTTTTCTTGCGAAATTGGTGACTTTTCCTCATCTAGGGTCATGAACTGGTGTGTAAAATCGGACACTTGATGTGTAGTGGAATGTCTGTGCAGAGTTGGTATACAAAGATGATGTTCGGGTCATTTGACCCAGACGCTTAATGTGGGAAAATAGCTGTTCAGATCAAAATAAACATGTCTCTGATGTACTTTTACTTTGATGTACAATTGTTTGTATTTTGATTGCCCTGAGACCCAGAGCCAGGTGTGTGAAGAGAGGGAACTTTCTCACACTTGTCCTTGTCACTGTTCTCATGTCATCTCTTTGACAAACTCACCAAAAATGAGCTCAAAGGATGACAACGAGGAGGCTTTATCACAGATTTTTAACTGGGATAGTGATGTAGAGGAAGAGATTTCAGAAACAGAGGATTTTCAGAGACAGAGGACAATGTTATTGCTGATCCAGATTGTCAATTTTCCTACGATGAGGAGGATTCAGAGGACGAGTCTGCCGTTGTTCCTCCAACAGATGAAAACCAAGGAATGCAGCAATCATCATCCACAGAGGGGACATGGGCATCTAAGGATGGTAATATAAAATGGTCAACACCGCACCCAAGCCGAGGCAGACTATCATCTTCCAATGTGATCAAAATGACTCCCGGTCCTACAAGATTTGCTGTCACACGAGTTGATGAGATTCAATCAGCATTTCAGCTCTTCATATCCCCTCATATCTAGCCCTTGTGCTTTCTTTGGTCAAGGAAGGAGGAAGAGAGGAAGGAAGGAAGGTAGGAAGGAAAGAAGGGAGAAAGGAAGGAAGGAAGGAAGAGAGAAAGAAGGGAATAGAGGAGGATGAACAGAGAGAAGAAAACAGGATGAGAAGAAGGAAGGAGAGAGCATGGCAGGAGGAAAGAAGGAGGAAGAATTGTCATTTTGACCGAGAGGAGGACAAGAGGATTAGACTAAATATTTCTTAAATATAGTGTTGGAATTAAAAATGTATTGTATGTCACTTTTCTAAATGTTTATATAACCTAAAAAAGTTGTTATTGGTTTAACCTGTTTTCTTGACTGTTTGAGTGCATTTACACAGTACGGGTCAAATGACCCGCAACATAATCAATGTCATTTTTTCAACATAATACAAGGGTTAAACCTGTAAAGCAGTCACCGAGATCATTTCTGCCTCCAAAAATGTTTATGATACCTGAAACTCTGATGTATGAGGGAGAGCTAAGTCTGTGAGGAGTGATTATAAGGCCGGATTAACCTGGAGGTATGATGTGCATCCGTGTGGGTGTGGAACACTGGAAAAAAACGTTTTTCACAAGGAGAACACGGTGCTGGGACATTATAACCTGAGTGCCTCTCTATCAGTCAGCGCTGAGCTTTCATTGGTCTGAAAATGTTTGACCACAAGACATTCTGTAACAGGGCAGAAGAAAGTGAAAGGGTGTAGAAGAATGAGGAGGAGGGAGAGAGAAGACAAAGTGACCAGAAGAAGGGAACGGGTCATCATCACATAGCATGTGACAAACAAATGTCACAATACAGGTAAGCAAGCAAGAGAACATTACGACCTGCTGCAGGAAGAGAAAATAGAAATACATCTCTGTCTCTCTCCCCCCCCCCGATTCTGAAATAATAGAACTGCTTTGTCGTTTAGATTTTGTAGGTGGAGATCACTTTTTTTCCCTTTTGAAGATGAGAAGTTTGGTATTCTTTTGCACATTCAGAGCAGCAGTCTCATGGCAAGCAGCTGAAAATAGGAAAGAATGTGGAAGCTTTAATCAGTGGAGGCTGCAGACTTAAAATCTCAGCCTACTGTGGTTTTTAACCATGTACAGACACTAATGGTGCCCAGGGGAGGAATCCTACAGACTTTGATGACCCCATGGCTTTTCATCTAGTGCCATCATTCACTGGGTCAAAATTTAAATTTCTCCAAATGTTGGTTTAGGACTACATTCTTGCAAAACTAATGCCTTCCCATCAGCCTTAGCTGTACTTTGTTTTAATGCCATGCAGCAAGTGTTAGCAAGCTGACACACTATACTTAGACTTTCTTAACGTCAGCATGTTAGCGTAGTCAAGAGGTAGGCAAATAGCGGCCTGTGGGCCAAATTCGGCCCTACATAAATATTAGGCCCACGGACAAAAGTTTCTCGTTCATAGTTTATATCAAAACTTCAGCATGATTTTCTAAATATCTCTGTAGATAAACATACCCGGCTCATTTAAATCCGTTAATTTATGTAATACTTAATTTAACAACAACAAATAGAAAAGTTTGTTGGTAAAGTATAGTCAAACGTGTTTTTCTTAGTGTCACTGCAGTGTGCAGAATGATGTGACTAGTATCTAGTTTGACACTTGAAGACAGTTTTTTCCTTTCATCTGCTGAAGAGGGGAAGTTCTTTGTGCTTAAAACGGGTGCAGGTGAGCATGTGACCGGTTTTGGGCATACAAGGTTTCCACCTGACAGTGAAAATATGCAACTTACAGAATGGACCTTTGTGTCTAGTTATAAAACATTTCAAAGGAAAAAATATTTACATATTCATAGATTCTGGATTTTTCCATGAAGCAGAAGGTGTGTGTGTGTGTGTGTGTGTGTGTGGGGGGGGGGTTATGTCTGGTTGGGATCTTTAAGACGCACAATGGATATTTTTGTTCCAGTTTAATAGCATAGCTGTAAAAGTTACAAGCAAAAATTAGTTAAAGTTGTGTTCAGTGTAGTTGTGTTTGTAAGTACAGATGTCAGATCTACTACATGCACATTAGGATGTCTAATTTCATGTTAATTTCTTCATTTTGAAGCTGCTTTGAGATGCCACAAGAAGCCTTGACCAAACATCCTTCCAACTAGCAGTCTTGTCTTGTGCTCAGTTTTCTAAATCATAAACACACTCATCTGAATAAACTTTCATGTTCTTCAGGCTCTTAGGTT